ACAGCTGCTTAGCTGCTTAAAGCAGATTCCACCATGGAGTTGATTACCAATCTTATCATTGGGTATGACTACATCCATCTGCCCAGTCATTCAAACTACAGCCTAGCCAAGTTGACACACAACCTTAACTACCACATCTATGTTTTAATTGTTTCCTAGTAACTTACATTTAATATATTATACAAAAGCATTGGAGCTCAAATTGGGAATTTAAAACAATGGTTATTCTGGATAATAGAATGGAGACTCTGAGAAATTGAGTTACTTGTCAAAATCAGTCATTAAGAGGTAGAGTAAGATTCACAAGCAGATCAAACTACAATGCTCACCAAATTATCATTAAGTTTTTTTTTATTTTAAAAAGTGTCCAATTTGACTAAGATTGTTGTCTTCCCATACTTCCCTATTTAAATAATAATGACTACTTTGGAGTTTTTCTATTAATGATTAGTCATCAATCATATAAAACAGAACTCGGGTTGGATTTATAAATCAAAAGATTCTACCCACTTTTTCATATAACAGTTTCTTCACAGCCATAATTTTGCAAGCCTTGATTCATGTAGCACCGTTTGCAAATAACAAAGCAGTCTTTTCTGTGCTTTTTCTGAAATCTCCTGGGGGTAAAATTTTCCCAGAGAGGTTATAACCAAATAGGAGGAGTTACTGGTGGAAAAATAACTTGTTCATTTTTAACAATCTTTTTCTCTGTGTTTTTCAGGTTGGATTATTTCTTTGGGTTTATTTGTCTTCAAGTAAATTGTCTCTCTCTTCTGTCATATTAATTCTGGTAGTGAGCCCTTCCAGATACTGTATTTTTTACTTTAAAATTTCCATTTCATTATATTTTACAGTTCCTATTTCTGTGCTGGAAACAACTATGTTGTCATTCTTTTCAAGAATATTTACTTTTTCCTCATGGACTGTGGTTGTAGTTGATGGTTTAAAGTCTTTATCTGATTATTTCAACACCTGGGTCATATCAGGGTTGGAATATATTTATTACCTTTTACCTTGAGAATTGGTTGTATTTTCCTAGTTTTTATATGTTGGATTTTGAATTGTGTCATGGACATATTAAATATTATGCTTTACGACTCTGGATTTGTTTAAATTCTCCAGAGAAGATTGACTTTTTAAAAGCAACCAGCCTGCTCAAATTTAGTCTGCAAGTTCTATCTTACCTCCTGTGAGCATTGGTTCAGTTTTAAAAGACAACGCTACGTCCTTTTAGTCTTCCGTATCCATGCATCACTCAGGGTTTAGTCTGGGACTTCAGCAATGGGTTAAACTGTAGTTCAGTTCTCAAAGCCTTTACTATGCTGCTTTGGGTTTTTTCTGCACAAGGGCACCTTGGATGAGTCCTTGGCTTTCATCCATTTATATGGAGAAATAGAGCATCCTCTTTTCCAGCTCTTTTCCAAATTAGATTTTAATTTTTATCAGAATGCTTTTTTTATATGGTAACAAGTCAGGTAGTATAGAAGACTTCATGATAACGGTAAGTGCTCCTATTCTGACATCTCAAACCTATTCCCCAGAGCCAACGCCTATGAAATGTTTGTTTCAAGTTCTTCTGTTCAAGATTCTATTATTCCTCTATTTCATGATTTATCATGTTTAGACAATATTTTTCACTTCCTATGTGAAAAAGATGAGAATTTTATTCACACAGTGCCCTCTCCTCCTCATAATGTTGGATATTTATATTGTTTTTGCTCTACTGGTTATATTTACATTTTATTTAGTATACATATACCTCTATTTCTTGGGCTATCAAGTTTAATAAACTTCTTCAATTCCTCATTTCACAAGGTTGCAATACTCAGACTAGTGCCTTTCTTTTTTCTTTCTTTTCTTTTTGCTAACTGATTACTGGAAAACTTTATGAACAGCCTTGAAACACTGTCTGATATAGTGCTGGAAGATGAGCCCATCGGGTTGGAAGGCACTCAAAATTTGACTGGGGAAGAGCTGACTCCTCAGAGTAGAGATGATCTTAACCATATGGATACAGTAAAGCTTTTAGGACCTCTTTTGACTGATGTGGCACAACTCAAAATGAGTAGAAACAGATGCAAACATCCATTAATAATTGCAACATGGTATGTATGGAGTATGAATCTAGGAAAATTGGAAGTTGACAAAGATTAAATGGAATGCATAAAGATTGATATCCTAGGCATTAGTAAGCTGAAATGGACTGGTTTTGGCATTTTTAATCAGACAACCATATGGTCTTCTATGCTGGGAATGACAAACTGAAGAGGAGTGGCATGGCATTCATCATCACAAAGAGTGTTTCAACATCTGTCCTGAAGTACAATGCTGGCAGTAATAGGATAACATCCATACGCCTACAAGGAAGGCCAGTTAATACTACTATTATTCAAATTTACACACCAACCACCAAAGCCAAAGATGAGGAAATTGAAGATTTTTACCAACTTCTGCAGTCTGAAATTGACCAAACATGCAGTCAAGATGTGTTGACTATCAATGGTGACTGGAATGCAAAAGTTGGAAACAAAGAAGAGTTACCAGTAGTTGAAATATATGGCCTTGGTGATAGAAATAACACTGGAGATTGCATGATAGCATTTTGCAAGACCGATGATATATTCATTGCAAATACCTTTTCTCAACAATAGTTTTGGTTGTCTCACCAGATTTCATCTGACCAGTAATTCTAGTCATTATTGAATTTTTGGATTTGTTCCACGTTTACCCTCCCACTCTATCCAGAATCTCCAGATTTGATCCTTTCCTGAGTGATTGGCATTGGTAGCCAGGCACCATCCAGTTCTTCTGGTCTCGAGAGCCATCGTGTCCTAGGGCTGATTGCTTCTAACCTTTTTCTTTCTTTCTTTTTTTTTTTTTTTATTCTTCTTCACTTCCAATGCTAGGAGACCAATAGCTGCATCTTAAATGGCTGCTTGAAAGCTTTTAAGACTCTATGGGCAAAATATTGAATGAAGCAGGAAGCATCAAAAGAAGATGGAAGAAATACACAGTTGCCGTACCAAAGAGAACTGGCTGATCTTCATCCATTTCAGGAGGTGGCATATGATCAGGAACCAATAGTATTGAAGGAAGAAGTCGAAGCTTCACTGAAGCAGTTGGCGAAGAACAAGGCTCTAGGAATTGATGGAATACCCAATGAGATGTTTCAACAAACAGATGCCCCACTGGAGGCACTCACTTGGTTATGCCAAGAGATTTGGAAGACAGTTACCTGGCCAACTGACTGGAAGAGATCCATGTTTGTACCCATTCCAAAGAAAGGTGATCCCATAGAATGCGGAAATTATTGAACAATATCATTAATATCACATGCAAGTAAAATCTTGCTGAAGATAATTCAAAAACAGTTGCAGTAGTATATTGACAGAGAACTTCCAGAAATGCAAGCTAGATTCAAAAGAGGATGTGGAATGAGGGATATCATTGCTGATGTCAGATGGATCTTGGCTCAATGCAAAGAATACCAAAAAGATGTTTACTTTTGTTTTATTGAGTATGCAAAAGCATTCAGTTGTGTGTATAATAACAAATTATGGATAACATAGAGAAGAATGAGAATTCCAGAACACTTAATTGTACTCATGAGGAACCTGTACATAGATCAGGAGTCTGTCATTCAAACAGAACAAGGGGATATGACATGGTTCAAAATCAGTAAGGGAGTGTGTCAAGGTTGTATCCTTTCACCATACTTATTCAACTTGTATGCTGAGCAAATAATCCAAGAAGCTGGATTAAATGAAGGAGAACATGGCATCAGGATTGGAGGAAGATACATTACAACCTGCAATACACAGATGACACAATTTTGCTTGCTGAAAGTTAGGATGACTTGAAGTACTTACTGATGAAGATTAAAGACTACAACCTGCAGTATGGATTACACCTCAATATAAAGAAAACAAAAACCCTCAGAATTGATCTAATGAACAGCTTCACAGTGGATGGAGAAAAGATTGAAATTGTCAGGGATTTCATATTACTTGGTTCTACAATCAACACCAGTGGAAGCAACAGTCAGGACATCAGATGACATATTGCATTGGGCAAATCTGCTGCAAAGGATCTCTTTTAAGTGCTAAAGAGCAAAGCTGTCTCCTGGAAGACTAAGGTGTGCCTAACCCAAGTCATGGTATTTTCAATCACCTCTTACGCATGTGAGAGCTGGACAATGAATAGCAAGACCAGAGAATTGATGCTTTTGAGTTGTGTTGTTGGATAAGAATACTAAGAGTACCACAGTCTTCTAAAAGGACTAACAAATCTGTCCTGGAAGAAGTGCAGCTGGAATGCTTCTTGGAAGCAAGAATGTACAAACTTTGTCTCACCTACTTTGGTCATGTTGTCAGAAGGAACCATTCCCTGGAGAAGGTTATCATAAAGTGGAGGATCAGTGAAGAAGGGAAAGGCCCTCAACAAGATAGATAGACACAATGGCTGCAACGATGGGCTCAGGTATAGCAAGGATCATGAAGCTGGCACAAGACTGGGCAGTATTTTGTTCCACTGTGCATAGGGTTGCTGTGAGTCGGAGATGACTCGATGGCACCTAACAACAACAACTGATTATTGACTTTTCTGTTGAGGGACCTATTCAACCTCTCATTATTCTAGGGTAGCAACAATACTGGTCATGGTTCTAAAGATGAAGTAGTCTTTACTCACCAGCTTAGAGGCTTTGTTGATTTTAAGGAACTTCTTGTAGATAGATACAATTTTTCTTTATTTTGCTTCAATTAGTCATCAAAATCTCCTTTCACTTTGGGCAAGGAATGAAAATTTCAAAGGCATAAATTATACTTACTGTATGGGTAGCTTAATTAACATAGAACCTAATGTAATCCACAGTAAGTATATAGTATATGTAAGTTATTAATACTCTGATTCTCAGAAGAAAATCCCAAGCTACCCAGTACCTGTAGCTTTCACTGTCTTTGACTTCTTTTCATCAGTTATTATCATTTTATATTTTTTAGCAAGAACAATCACAAGGAAATCCAACAACAAAAAGCAAATCTAAAAGACTGGATCCTCTCAAAGGCCAGAAAGTTATTGCAAGATGTGATGAAAATGGCTTTTATTTTCCAGGTAGATGTTTTAAGTTGTAACATTTCTTTGTTAAGCATCTTGATATGGGGGACCAGAAGTTCTCAAACTATACTTTTTCTAGAACACTGGCACATCATGAGCTGTACTGAGGTATTCCATTTCCCAAATAAAATTATGATGAGGTTTCTCTCCATACATGTAGGAAAAATATATCCAGAAAATGTTATTCATTTTAATCTCTCATTTGTTTAGTAAACAGATTTTTCTTAATGTAGTTACTATGTTCCGTGTATGTAATAGTCTGAGAGTGCTGGTCATCACAAAGCTTACATCCTAGTGAGGTTAGGAAAGCAGACAAGCAATAAAACAAGTAAAATGTGTAGTAAGTTAGATACCACACTAAGGAAAAAAATCAAACCACAAAAGGTGCCAAGAGTGTCAGGGTGAAAGTTGCAGTCCTAAATATAGTGGTCATAGAAGTGCTCCCTGGGAAGGTGATATATGAGAAAAGACTTAAAGAAAGAAAAACAACCCACACCTGTGGCTTCCAGTGAAACAAAAGACAGGCATATGAGTTGAACATTTACCTGAGATAGATACACTCCTTGGAGAGAACAAAATCAAGGGAGAAAGAAGGGCTGTTTATGCACAGGGAGACAGCTCAGGGGGCAGGAGTGCATGGAGAGAGGAACACAGGGAAGAAGTAACTGTCGGGAGGAAGTGGGAGGGGAGCTGTTGCATTGTGGTAAATTGTGGTCAATGTCATGAGACAAAGTGTATGTGAACTGCTGTATGGAAAGTGAATTTGCTCTGTAAATTTTCACCCAAATCACAATTTTAAAAAAGAAAAAAAGAAAAGCAAGCCATAAGATTATCTGGGGGACAAGAATTCTAAGTAGAGAGAAAAGTAGTACAAATGCCAGAGTCTGGAGTATACAAAGCATATTGGGGAAATAGCAAAGAGAACAGTGTGGGTGGACTTGAGAGCTTTGTCCAAGACTTCCTTGGGAGCTTGATTCTGAAGGTATCAGCCAGATGAAGTTCAGTGGGAGATAGAGGTAGGAAGGGTGCCTATGTATAGTGAAAATAATATGTGAGACTATGTCTAATGGTGAAAAAAATAATTACATATCTGGAGAAATAGAGTATGACAGGAACCTAGAGTACAAAAGAAAGGTAGAAAATAAAACTTTTCAGAGAGGTAAGTCTAGGACCATTTCATAAAGAATTTCATAAGCCATGCTAAAGAGTTTGCACTCTACTCAGGGCATTGGGGCCATATATATGGCTAAAAGCAGGGAGAAACACAGTCATACTTGCATATTAAAAAGATTCCTCTTAGTGCTGTGTAAAGGGTAAATATCGATTGGAGGTGGCAGTAATGCTGGACTGAAGTCTAGAAAATCTGTTCTGAAGCTGTTTCTGCCAGTGGGAAATGATAATGACAATGAGAATGGAGAAACATTATGCACTCAAGAATCATATAAGAGATGTCCTCAACAGGACTTAGTGATTGACTAGAGGAGGGCAGTGAAGGGAGAAAGGAGGAGTATGTTGGGAGAGGAGAGAAGGAAATAGATAGTAGTACTGTACTTTAGAAGATGGTGGTATGGTCAGGGCTGACAACAAGGTACATCTGAGACATGATGAATTGTAAGTGTATATGAGCTACCCAATGTCAGAGAAGCAACTGTATACCCAGAATGTGGAGAAGGAACCTCTCTGGAGATGGAGATTTTTTGAGACATCAGTACAAAAGTGGTTATTGAAATTATATGTAAGGGGATTTCCAGCAAGAATGTGGAATAGGCAGACAAGCTATACAGACCCTCTACAACAAAGAAATGAGAAACCAAATGAAACAGATACAGATGAAAATCCTGGAACCCTGAGCTTCGAAGGAAAGGATAAAGTAGATCAAATACCGACTAGAAGAAGCACCTAAATGAAAACAGCAAACAAAGATAGAAATGGAACTGTAAACTATCAACTGGCCTGACAGCATGGCCATTTGGAATTTTTGCAAGCAGAGTTACAATAGGGGCAGCAACCTGATAATTGCCTCTGCTTGCCAAGGACTGCACAGACACACACTGTGATATCTGGCAACCAGAAAGGAATCAACAATCATGCTCAAACTATGAACCACATCCACATCTCATGCAACCCCACCCACTGGATGAGGGCCACCACCTGCTTCTGCACCAACTAACCAATGACAGTGTCCAATACCAGCCCAACCTGCCCTCAACTGCTCTACATGAACAGTGAATAGAAAACTGTGCACACATTCTCATCCTCTGTAACACCAACCAGGTGACAAGTGGTGAGCGCCTAACTGCTGCCAAACTAATGAGCAGAGTACAACACTAGCTCCACTCACTTGTATAGATCAAAACAAAATAAAAAGGAAAACCTGGGTGAAACACACTAACATACAGTCACCAATTAAATACAAATATTACAACATCACAATGTCTCAGAGACAACAGACAATCTCAGTACACAAAAATAAGCAAGATAAAGTAGTACAAACAAGGGACCAAAATACAGAGCCATAAAACCTCCATGAGAAAGAAATGGCATTGAAACTACCTGATAAGGAATTCCAAAGAATTATATTTAGGTACCTTAAACAGATCAGAAAAAGTTTGACATCAAACAATATCATTAATATCACATGCCAGTAAAATTTTGCTGAAGAGAATTCAAAAACAGTTGCAGCAGTATATTGACAGAGAACTTCCAGAAATGCAAGCTGGATTCAGAAGAGGACATGAAATGAGGGACATTGTTCCTGATTCAATGTGGATCTTGGCTAAAAATAAAGAATACTAGAAAGATGTTTACTTGTGTTTTATTGACTATGCAAACACATTTGACTGTGTGGGTCATAACAAATTATGGGTAACATTTAGAGTAATAGGAATTCCAGAACACTTAATTGTGCTCATGAGGAACCTGTACATAGACCAGAGGCTGTTGTTCAGATGGAACAAGGGGACACTGCTTGGTTTAAAATCAGGAAGGAGTGTGTGACAGTTGTATCCTTTCACCATACTTATCAGTCTGTTTACTGAGCAAATAATCCAAGTAGCTGGACTATATGAAGAAGAACATGCCATCAGGATTGGAGGAAGACTCATTAACAACCTGTGATACGCAGGTGCCACAACCTTACTTGCTGAAAGTGAAAATGACTTGAAGCACTTACTGATGAAGATTAAAGATGCAGTATGGATTATACCTCAACATAAATAAAATGAAAATCCTCACAACTGGACCAACAAGTGGCATCATGATAAATGAGAAAAGATTGATGTTGTCAAAGATTTCATATTACTTGGTTCCACAGTCAACACTAATGGAAACAGCACTCAGGAAATCAGAAATCATATTGCACTGAGCAGATCTGCTGCAAAAGACCTCTTTAAAGTACTGAAGAGCAAAGACGTCTCCTTGAAGACTTATGTGCACCTAACCCAAGCCATAACATATGCATGTATAAGCTGGACAATGAATAAGAAAGACCAAAGAAGAGTTGATGCTTTTGAGTTGTGGTGTTGGCGAAGAATACTGAAAGGGCCATGGACTGTCAGAAGTCTGAACAAATCTGTCCTGAGTGAAGTGCATCCAGAATGCTCCTTTGAAGTGACAATGGCCAAACTTTATCTCACCTATTTTGGTCATATTGTCAGAATGGTCATTCCCTGGAGAAGAATATCATGCTTGATAAAGTAGAGGATCAGCAAAAAGGGGAAACCCTTGAACAAGATGGATAGACACAGTGGCTACAATGATGGGCTCAGGTATAGCAAGGATTGTGAGGCTGGTGCAGGACTGGGCAGTGTTTCATTCTGTTGTACATAGGGTCACTGTGAGTCAGAGCTGACTTGACAGTACCTAACAACAACAGCAACAATGGCTCAAGAGAGAAATCAAAGAAAACACTGAGAAAATCAAGGAGAACACAGAAAAAACTCTTGAAGAATTCAGGAAAACAATATAAGATCAAACTGACAAAAATTAGAAACTACACAAGAACAGCAACTAGAAATCCAGAACATTAACACTAAGGTTTCAAAAATAGATAACACATTGAAAGGGCAAAAGAGTAGAATTGAATCAATGGAAAACAGAATTAGTGAGATTGAAGACAAATCTCTCACTACTACTCTCTTAGAAGAACAATTAGAAAAAAAAAAAAATGGAAAGAAATGAAGAAGGCCTAAGATTTATGTGTGACACCATCAAGAAGAGTAAGTTAGGTGTCATCAGTACTCCAGGACAGGAAGAGACCAAAAAACTCACACATACATACAAAAAAACAAATTAACAGAAAATTGTTGGCAATATGTGGGATGACAGCTTCCCTGATACAAAGAAAGATGAGAATATATGCATTCAGGAAGCTCAATAAACTCCAAACAGGAGAGACTCCAAAAGAAAATCACAAACACATATAATAATCAAACTTTCCAAAACCAAAGACAAAGAAAGAGTCCTGAGAGCAGTTTGGGAAAAATGAAAAGTTACCTACAAAGGGCAATGAATAAGACTAAGGTCTGATTTCTTGGCAGAAACCATGCAGGCAACAAGACAATAGGATGACATATATAAAACCCTGAAAGAAAAAAATTGTCAACCAAGAATTGTATATCTAGCAAAATTGTCCTTCAATCATGATGGTGAAATTAGGATATTTCCAGATAAACAGAAATGAAGATAATTTGTAAAAAAAAAAAAAAAAAAAAAATCATACAAAACTCACAAGTGACGCTAAAGGGAGTGTTTTGGACACAGAAACAATAACAGCAGACAACCTGAGATGAACATACATGACAGCATCACCCAGAAACCAACCCAGATATAGAAGTATACAAAGTGAAATAAACCTACAAGATTGAAAACAGAGAAACACAGACATCAATTTGTAAACAAGGACAATTCCAAAGTAAAAAGAGGGAATAAATAGTGTAGTTACAGAACATCCAAGTGGAAAGGCAGTCAAGACAATTTCAAGATAGAACAAACTATTT